CAGCACAACTACAATGACGTGGGAAAATACCCGAACAAAGCTGAATGCCATACATGTAAGTACCCGTGAAAACTTAAGAAAACAAACAAATATATATATATATTGTGTGTGTATATACATATACATATACATATACATATACATATACATATACATATACATATACATATACATATACATATATGTGTGTGTGTGTGTGTGTGTGCGTGTGTGCGTGCGTGTGTGTGTGTGTGTGTATTTGTAATTCTTAACCTTAGAGGAAGCTATCTAAATCCCACCTTTTCAACATTCTTTAAAATTCAATAATGGTGAGTAACTGTCTTTTGCATCTGATTTTGGATCACGATTAACTTAAGACTCAGAAGGGTTGGGGAAACAAGAGATTGCATTGTTTAAGTATTTTGTTGTTATTGTTAATGATGATGTAGATAACTGTCTCGCATTTATATATTTCTTCTGGTTGTAAGCTGCTCCTTTGTATTCAGGTCTGGCCTCAGAATGATGATGTAGCACTTGGGGATGAAGATGCAACCCAGCAGCCCAGCACTGGAGGCCAAGATGGAGAAGACCTGCACAGCCACCATATATTTCCCTTTGGTGCTCAGGTAGGTGGGCACAAAACTCACCCAGACACTGCAGAAGACCAGCATGCTGAAGGTGATCAGCTTGGCTTCATTGAAGGCCCCAGGGAGTTTCCTGGCCAGGAAAGCTACTGTGAAGCAGATGGCAGCCAGGAAGCCCAGGTAGCTGAGGGTGATGTAGAACATAACAACAGAGCCTTCGTTGCATTGCAAGATAATCATTCCAGGCTGGGAATGGAGGTCAGAGTCAGGGAATGGGGGAGAAACTCCCAGCCAAATAAAGCAGATGATAATTTGAACAGCAGAACCAGAAAGGATGATGGAATTGGCCAAGCTCTTCCCTAGCCACCTCCTCACTTGGTTGCCTGGTTTTGTGGCCAGAAAAGCCAGCACCACCATGATTGTTTTGGCCAAGAGACAAGAAATGGCAACTGAGAAGATGATGCTGAAAACTATTTGTCGGAGAAGGCAGGTGACTTTCCTTGGTTGTCCAATGAAGAGAAAAGGAGACAAGAAGCAAAGCAGCAAAGAGACCAGGAGAATGTAGGAGAGGTCCCGGTTGTTGGCTTTGACAATGGGAGTTTCTAGGTATTTAATGAATATGAGTAAAGCAAGGCCTGTGATGAGGAACAAGAGTAATGCAAATGAGATGAAGATGAAGCCTAGATGTTCTTCATAAGATAGGAAGTTTATAACTTTGGGAATACATTGGACTCGGTCCTTGTTTGGGTGTTTATCATCCGGACAC